ACTTTTTATTCCAATAGATCCTGACTATAATTCTCCCGGAAATTTACAATTTCTGATATTAAGCAGGGTAAATATATATCTCTATCTATTTATAACATATTTTAAATTTTATTAATCTTTTGATTTTTAGGAGCAGTCTATAATATTTGGGGTCATATTGAGCAAGATCCAATTTCAAAGCTAGGTAAGTTTTAGGTTAAGCAAGCTAAATATTGAACTCAGCCTTATAATCATGTAATTTTATTGTTAGATGTTTGGACTACAATAACAGATGTCAAAATTTCGCCTGATGGAAAGTTTATTTTTTCAGCATATACTGATGCATCTATTAAGGTAGTTTAATATTATTGGACAGGAATATAAAATATTCATAACCTTACAATACTATTTTATTATTATTATTATTATTATTATTATTATTTATTAAACCTTTATTTTGTTAACGGAAATTGCTATGTCTGGCAAACTAACAATGCTAACCTTCACACCAAACAAAAGATATATAAGTTATCTACTTGCTATTTTGATACCTATTTGTATATATATTTTTTTTCGATTTAATAAATTTCTATACAGTTTGTCAATCAGAAGTACCTCGATTATCAGTATGTAAAAAACCAACTTACGAAACAAAATATCAGTTTGCGTCGTGCGAAAATTCGGGGTATGTACGTTTGTCTGGATATTATTACTATGGAATGAATACATTTTATAATAGTTTTATTACATAAAATATAGGTTGGTTCAAAGTTCACTTTTTAAGATATAACAGAAAACAAATTTATCCTATGGCATTACATAAATTTATTTTTGTTTCGAGCCATCAGGTTATTGCTACGTATAATGGCAGTCAAAGAGATTCCACTAGTATGATTAAAGTTTGGGATATAAATAGCAGAAATAAGACATGCCATAATAAACAATCAATCCCTGGTAGTGTTAGTTGCTTAGATATTTCACATAATGATAGGATCTAAAATATTTGATATTTTATATATAGTAGTTTATTATAATTATTCAAAAATTGTATATATATTTTTTTTAGAAAAATAGATCACTTGCAAAACTACTGCTGAACTTGATAAAGAGGGAGGTGGTTCTATACATATATGGGACATGTTGTCTCAAACTACATGATGTATTTACTGGTGAAAAGAATATAAATGTCATATCAATTTCATCTAATGGTTAATATATTGCATTTTGCGGGATAATAATCACTGTATTTGTTTATGATAAACGAGATTTAAGAGAGAGTCTTCATGTGCTAAAACATGATAGTAAGTCAAGATTTAAATATACAATTATTTTATTTATAACTTTTTGAGTTTAACCTATTATTTTTTTTTAAAGATTCAGACGATGGACGTTTACACGATGGAATAATGTTCTTACAGTAGATTCCTGATACTAACTTTCTTTTTAGTGGAGGAAATGACAATTGACATGCCTCGTTATCTTCAAGTAACATGGTTTTTTGGTTTTACATCACGACAACCCAGTTATATCAATTCGGATATCATCAGATAATTATTAGTTATTTAATTATCACCATTATTAATTCTATTTATTTCAAACAAAAGTTAATTTTTCAACTTGATATTTTTAAATAAAGTGCATTTATCCTTGTACAATATGATCTATCTACAATAAAAGTAAAAAGTCCTTATTACAGTATCATTGCTATTACTATTAAAATTTATATATAGGTTTTCTCATATATGCCTACAAAAACCACATATTTTGACTATAATAATTTTGGGATACCCATTAGCGTTGTTCTGAGAATAGAGGTTGTACCCGCTGTCAAATTTACCTTCTGGGTCATCCAACCATTTAC